CTACAAGCAAGCAAGCTTTTGAATGTTGGGAGTTTATTTTTGGAGTGTCTCTTTCCAGAGACTGAAGGTTGGGAATGACTCTGTTTGCAGGCAGTTGGTGAACAGCCATGTAGACTTGTGTGTGCGTCTCCGATCTTAGGACTTACAGCTAATAATAAACACCTCGCCGCGGGGTGCCTTGAAAGGAGGAATCGCTAGAGCGAGAGTGGAACGGCAGAGGGGTTATTTTCGGCTCCCTTTGTGGCATTAGGGTTTGAAATAGTGAGAAAACAAAGTTGAACCGAAAAGCAGTGAGAGTTGAATTGCTGCTGTGCACCTGTGGGAAGTGACGACCAGCAAGCAAAGCAAAACGCATTAAAACACTTGAAGGATGAACCGGTAATTAGGGAAAATGCTGTTTTGGGGAGGAATACATCCTTTCCTGAGTTAAGAAATGAACATTGTGATATGAATGTTGAACAGAAGTACTTGAAGGGGATGATGAAGGGCAAGATCTTAAGACAAAAATTCAGAGGAAAGTGGAGAAGCCCAAGACATCGCTGCTTTGTCAAAGTCCTGAGGGATGGGATAAATCCAGTGTGGGCAGAGAAGAAAGAGGAGAGAGATGGAGCAGCGGTAAAACATGGAGCTGTAAGGTAAGTTGTGTGTTTGAGAGGCTGTCTCCCTATCAATAAATGATCGCGGTAATGGGATCTGCCTTTCTACAACCCTTTACTCCCGAGGAGGCAGAGCATCCTCGCCGCAGGCTCCCTATCTTGCTGTGGTTTCGGGTTCTGCACCTGCAGGAGTGGCTGGAGAGGGAAGCTCCTCCACCGTCGTGCAGCCGTTGCCTGCGTGGCTGGTTGTGCACAGGAGGAAGGAGATGTTGGTTGCAAGCCCCCGTTGCTTCTCTTTGCAAGGGCAGCGAGTCATCCACTTCTGCGCTAAACTAAATATCAAGGGAACGTTATTTCACCCCTTTCTGTCTACTTATTAACGGCGCTCTCAATACCACCATCTCTCGGCTATGTTCAGGCAAAGTGATGTGAACAAGGAGGCTTTGTATCTGGGCTAGATTAATTTATAGCACCGATGGATGCAGCGTGAGCTGCTCCAGTTGCCTTTGCGCTGAAGCGGATGAGCACTCATGCAGTCCTGCAGACGATACTACGCCCGCACGTGAGGACATCGGCGTCGTACGGCGTTTCAGCTCTACCCTAACTCTTTGTTGATACCCCAGGGAGTTCTCATAGGCGTTCCCTTAAGAATTTGGCTGTATTTGTTCAGACTAAAGCGTTAGTTTCGAATATCATTTCAGGGTATGTTCCGAGTAACTGCCTGGAAAGTGCAGGGGATGCAGGTAAAGCTTGTAGCGCTAAAACTTTTCGTATCACTAGCCAAAGCTCTGGGCATTGCCAAGCAACGGGCTGCATCTCTGGTGCTGATGGAGGAGGAATGATCTCTGTCTAAGGGGAAATACAGATCCAGCTGCTGCGACCACTGGATCGGTCCTTTCTGTCTCCTCCTGCCGTTGTGCTCAGTCTCTAAGGCTGCAAACACTTTAATTGCCTCTTTCTGCTGAAGGAATTGAAAGTTCAGCTTGCTTATACAGTGGGGAAACCCCAGCATTTTGGGTGAGGAAGCATGGAAAGCAGAGGAGGGAACTTCTCCCAAGCCTGGCTGGGCGCTGCTAGCCATCCACCCCACGTGCTGCCCGCTGCAGCGTAAAACCGTCGAGAAGCGCTTGGAATCAGCCACAATTTATACGTGTGTTTAGAAACCCGTGACGGCTCTTTGCACGCAGCATCTAGAGTAAGCCACTGTCGTCTTATAACGCTGCCTTTTTTTTTTTTTCCGACTCGTGTGAATTCAAGCGCTTGAAGGCAGCGGAGGAAACCCTCGTGGTAAGCTGCGGGCAGGGAGTGTGTGCAGGGGGAAGGCAGCGCAGCCCGGCTGGAAATGCAAGCAAAAAACTTGGTGATCGGAAGAGGAGCAACGATTCTTCTCCGCTGCATTCATCAAATATTGCTTTAGACCCCCCCTTTTTTTTGTAGAGTTGGTGACGAGGTGTCTCTTTGCAGAGCTGTGAGCGTTCCCGACGCTGCCGGAGGTTTGTGGCCTCTGCCCCGTGGCTGGGGGTTTTCGTCACTTTGCTCATGAAACCGAAATCTTGTTTACAGACGGTTTTGCAAACAGGGAACCAGCATTAATTTCTCTTACTGGGGGTGGCGGTAGGGGGGAAGTCTGCCCACAGACATCCATTTCAGACCTCGTTTGTGTTCCAGTTGTACGCTGATCTATGTGGTGAATCCTGATTAGCGGCGGATGATGGCAGGGAGTATAATTTAGAGGGCATCGTCCCCTTGAACAGTGCTGCAATCCTCATTATCCTCTATTCCCTTCTGCTGAAGTACAGGAGGGACCATATCTCGTTTTTTCCAGCTCAGGACATCCCCAGGGAAACTCTTGCACCCGTTCTCGCCTTGCTCCGCGCTGTCCGAGAAGGTGCTACGAGGAGAGCTGTAGCAGAGAAAAAGTCCCTGGTTGATGGCACTGCAGGACTTGTAGCATGGAGTTGCATTTGCTGGTGGTGTCCTCGATTTTTTTTTTTTTTCCTAGGAATATTACCAAGACTTTAGAAAATATTCAGATGGTAATGGGGAATAAATTGGAAGCGGGGATTTTGAGCAAGCTGTAGAGGAGTGGTAGGATTTCAGTATGAAATTATTTCAGCATACGGGGAAAAGAAAGGTTTGCAGCACTGCAAAGAGCGCAGGCTTGCGGTGAGAACAACAGCCGCGGCTTGATGTGAATATTTTTGCCAAATCTCTCTTTAGCATTTCTGAACCTGCTTATAACCCTCCTGGATAAAGTTCTAGCAAGAATGAGGGGAATGCAGGCTCTACGCGCGTGAGCTGAAAGTATGAAGAGATGAAAGGAATGAGAAGGGACTTCGAATGCAAGAAGGTACTTCCCACAACTGTAAATAACGTGGAAGGGTGTCTAAATATTACCTAGCACTAAGCTCACACCAGAAAGTTACAGCAGGCTACCTCTGCTCTTATTCAGCCAACCTCACGGTTTTTATTGAACAAGAAACGTCCGTGCAAGTGTCACAAAATTACCATGAACTTAAAAATAAAATTGCAAACAGGGAGTTGAAACTGAACTCAATATTGGATTTAGGAATGATTATTATTTTTTTTTTTTCCCTAAAAAGACAGGACCATTTTGCTTGCCCTTTGATCAGGAGCTGAACCCGAACAACTCCAGTCACTGGTGAGCCTGAACCAGAACTGAGCTGTTTCTTGGCTCGCCTCCCTGTTTGCACGTAATCTAATTTTTAACTCAGGTTGCAGAGTAGAGTTTTAAAGTTTATGTAGTCAAGATACATGTGGTAAGTAAGCTGTTCACTAGGGAAACCATTCTGGTCCTTTCAGAGGTTAGGAATAAGTAGCTGGTAAATAATTTTGGTATCCTGAAGTTGGCTGTTAGATGTCTGAAGTCTCCAGCGAAGCTTTTAAGACGGCAAGCAACTAATCAAAGTAATTTCTGATCTGAAAGCAATATTGGTCGTGTGCGGGTTACAGCCAATTTTTGCAAAGCAATTTTCCAAAGCAAGATGTGAACCTATTTCAGGGTTGAAAAAAGACTTTGAACAGACTGCCCTAGAGGGCTTGATCTCTTTGAATTGGGCAAAAAAGTCTGGTAACCTTTGCGGTGCGATGAAAGGACATTTCTTGAAGATAGTTTCTCTGGTCTCTGAGCTGTTCCTGTTGAAAGGTAGATGAATGTTGGCACCACAGCCCCCGTGTGTTTGTGGCAGCCTGAATTGTAGCCAGATATTACAAATGCTGCGTTTTTATTACCAGGTAACTTGGGTAATACTCCTCCTGCAACCGACCACGCTCAAGGAAATAAAAACTTAATGTCCTATCTGCTAGCGCTGCCGCATTTTGCTTTTCATTTGGAGGATGATGGGGAAGTTCAATCAGAAAAGGAACTGCTTCCAAGGCAGTCGTTCATTCATTGCGTTTGCTATAACAATATACTCTGCAAAAAATAAGGGCAGATGTGGTTGCCGCGGAGCATACTTTGTTCAGCAGTTGAATGAAGTTGGTTAATCAGTGTGAGAACCAAACAAAATGCTTTCCAGCTCGTTATTGTTAATGTTTGATACCTGTGCCTGTCTGGATAATAAATATAATTGGTAACTCAAGTAATAAGCTGTTAGTGCCAGTGTCTGGGCAATGCAAAATGAAGCCTCTTTACAATACAGTAACACCCTGTTAAAGAGAAATTTGATTTATGTTACTGCACGGTGTTTCTGGAGCTGAAATTAAACCCTTTGTTGTGCTAATCGCTGTTTGATTCCTACCGTCTTGTTTTGCAACCCCTTTAAAACCTCCGAAATGATTACTTAGGAGAACGAAAAGGGACCTGTGCGAAGCCTGCTGGCACCGGCTTGCTCACTTCCTAAACTTTTATCATCTCTCCTGTCTGCCTAGAGTTCCCTTCAACCAACGCGGTAATATCCATCCTTTCTTCTGGATCTGGGAGCATGGGATTTAACATCAGGTCCCGGTGAAGGTGTGCGTGGCTGCTGGCTCTCCTCTGTTTTGCTCAGTGCTCCGATCTCCTTTTGCTCTGCCGTTTAACACCGTTTAACGTAATCCAAAGACAGGATGAGGTTTCTGAGCTCTGTTATTGATTGCAACTCGCTGTTTGCTCTCTGAATCGATGCAGTTACCCATAATAAGGGGGATATCGGCGCTGAGTGGTGTGATTGCGTCTGAGAAGAAAATTAAATTTTCCTTGCCCATCCTTACATTTGTTTATCATGCTATCTCTGCAAGCAGCATACTACAGGGAGAAAATCAGGCTTAATTTAAAGGTGTCGTAATTGAAAAGTCATTTCAAAGCTGTTTGCCCTGTGCCCTTCAGGAGGGTTTCTGGGCTGCTGTTTGCTCTCTGTCATTTCCAGAGAGACCAGGGCCTGACAGATCAACTTCTTCTTTCAGAATAAGGACAGCGGCGAACGTGAGAACAAGCAGCTTAGAGAAGATGACGAAGAGGAGACCGTCAAGCACAAGTAATTATTTATTTATTCCCACTTGTCTCTCTTGTATGTATTGTTCAGGCGCTGCTCTCCTGTTGGCTAATTAGGATCTTTCCTTTGCTTCTAACATGCAATTTATTTTTATTTTTGTAGTGTGAATTTGATCTCATCGTGTAAATGATCTGAGATGGGGGAATAAAGAGGAAAAGCCTGGGGCTGACTTGCAGCTTTTTTGGGGGCAGAGAGGGGAAGGTAGTGCTGGGAACTGAATTCGACAGCCCTTGCTGCCTCTCTGTGCCCTGCACGTGTGTCATTTTAAGTGTGAATTTTTTTTTCCCCCGTGAACGGAGGCCCGCAGGGTGCACGTGGCTGTTTAACCATGACCCACCGCTGTTCTCTCTTGTCACTGGAAAATGTGAGCACAAAACGAACCGAGGCAGGGTGTCACTCCTGGCAGGACCAGCTGACTCTGCACTTGGTTTTCTGCCGGTGATAACGCCATCAGGTCTCCTTTGGAGACCACGGGGGGTAAGGTTTGGTTTGAAGATGTGGGACGTGACCTTTTCTCATCGCTTTACCGGCTAGAAACCTCCTCTGTGGGAGGTGTGCATCAGAGATGCTGCTGCAGATGAGCATGTGTGCTCTGCTGAGAAAGTAGAGCAAAATCCTCACTGCTTCTTGGGAATAACTCCCGGCAAAAAATGCATCCCTTCTTGAGAACAGCCCGCCTGGATTTAGAGCTGGGAGTGCTTGAGAACCATCACCGAGACCGAACTTTGTAGGTGCCGTGGTTGGGTTTCGTGCTGGAAGAGGCACGAGGTCTGGGCTGAAGCTGAAACAGGAGCTGGAGATCTTGGAAATGAGGATGAATAATGAATCAACAGCTCTTGCTTTCCAGCCCTGCCACTCAATACGCTGCGTGGGGAGGTGATGCAGCGTGCGGTGGCCCGCTGACGAGGAGCATCAGGCCCGGGCTGTCTTTACCACGCGATGCACCGGCATTGTTGGGCTAGCAGCAATGCTCTGCTGCTCCCAAACTGGAATTCTGAATTGGTCCACTAAATCTCTGAGAAAAAAAAAAAAAAATACATTTTTTTTCTACTCTGTCTGACTTTCAGGCTGGAGATTGCTGCTTTTTAACCACTGCTGAGTGGCCTGGAGCATATCAGAGGTGACGTGGTTTCTTACCAAGTCTTCAGCGTCACTGCTGTTAAGTTGGTAAATCACTTTTTCCACCAACGCTTGTTTGTGAGCTCTCATCTTGTGGCGGGTTCAGCAAAAAGCGTTCCCCTGCCTGTGGGTGATGCCCTTGAAACTTCATTGAGGTTTGTTGTATGTAGAGACCAAAGGTGTTGAGTAGGAGCTCCCGTCTCCAGCGAGCTTTGTACTGATGCATGAAACTCCCCGCGGATGTGGGCACAGGGCTGGCTTCTCCTGAAATGCGTGGGAGTGATGCCTTTGGGGAGACAGCTTTTGGGGCAAAAAGCTTGCTTTCCAGATCGATTTTCCTGCAGGAGTCTGTAGCTCTTTGTCCGCCTATCCGACTGCAGCATGTTTTGTCGGGATCCAAACGTAACTTTGCAAGGCAAATTAGAGCAAGATCTGCTCTGCAGGAAATGTTTGAATCACAAATTTGGCTGCGATGGTCCTTAGCTTTTGCTTTACTTGTTGAATGTCCTTTTTCCGTCACCGGAATTGGTTGTGCATTTTTAACAAGATCTAGAAGGCTGGTGAGCCGATAACTTGATTTTGTCTTAGATTTTTATTTCCCAATAGCGTAGCTGAACTTTCAGCCCTTTGAAAAAGGGAACTGCTGTGCAGTAATGCCCTGTTGGCTGGTGGCAAAAGGTAAGCTGAGATCATCCACTGGCGTTTACCCTGAATTTGGGAAACGAGGGGTCCTGGTAACTGAAATCTGCCTTCCCTGCAAACCACTTTTTTGCACCCAAACAAGTGCCTCAATAGCTGCGCTGCTTTCTCAAGCTGAAAACCACCAAGAGCACGACACGGGGAGGGGAAATCTAGTGGTTCAGTAAATAATCCTGTAGCCCATACACAGGGTTTAGGTGCACTGACCGCCCTAAAAGCGAACAGCGGCCCAGGGCTTTCCTTGCAGGCTGCTTCTTTCTCCATCCCTGCAGCTGCACCTTCTGCCCGCACCCAAGACCATCCTTTATCCCCTGTAGGAAGGACAGAACCGCCGGGCGCTGGCTTTACTAATATTTTCTTGCTGCCTATGTGACGACACGCTTTTTGGCAGCTTCCTGTTTGTTTTCTGATTGACTCAAATCTCCCCACCCTCCCCTTTTTTTTTTTTTTTTTTTTTTTTTTTTTTTTTTTTTTTTTTTCACTCTTCAACTCAACACGATTCTGCCTGGGAATTTATGATAGATTCTTTTTTTTTTTTCTTTTTTTTTTTCTTTTTTTTTTTGTTCCTTGTTTTTATCTTTCACGCTGCAAGCTACCACCGCAGGAACAAGTGCTGACGAAACCCTCTGTGAAAACCCTGATACGCTCGCAGCAATTTCAGCTCAGGCTGTCTCTGATCTGAGCTCTCGGGAGGAGTTTATATCTGGAATTGCAAAAAGCTCGGGTTATTATTATTATTTTTTTTAACCAATTATGCTTAGCCCACTGACCAGGAAACACCTTCCGTCACGGCGCAGCCTGTGATCCACCTTTGCAAGGAACAGGGTGTGGGTGGACTTTGGCCCTTCTGCCCTGTTCCCGTGGAGGAAAAAAAACAGTCGGTTTGGGACGTGGGGATCTGCAAGGTGAGCGCCGTGTAAAGCCAGGGCTGGCTGGAGACAGGCATTGCCACCCCGCAGGGAGCTGAGAGGTGTTGAGCTTTGACGTTGGGCTGTAGTTCCACAAGCAGAGCTCATCAGAGATTTTAAAAGTATAAATAAAAATCCAAGGTAGGGCTTGGAGAGGGAGGGGGGGAAAAAAATAATAAAGTCTTCAACTTAACTAGAAATTAAGCTTCAGGGAGCTGCTGTTAATCAGCTGCTGGTGTTTCGACACTTAGTCATCCTTTAAAATTACAGCTCCGTGCTGTGCTGCTTGCAGAGATAAATTTCTGGGAGGAGCTGGGGGAGGCAGGGGTTGGGAAACGCGATCTCTCCCCTCGCAGTAGGAAGAATGTCACGGGGCAGGTCAAAACCACTTTTTTTTTTTTTTTATCTCTGCACAAAAAAATGTAGCAGCCAGTCTGCTCAGTGTTGGCTTTAGCTTGGCAGGACGGCCAAGGCAGTAGCAAGGATAACTGATAACAAGCTTCCTTACATCCTGTGGAGAGCTTAATGAAGAGTTTAAAAAAGAATAAAAAGAAGAAAAAGAACTATAATCAAATATGGGAGACGGCAGTGTTTGCATGTAGGCTGAGCTCGGTACACAGGGTGTATTCGATCGACATCTGCACGGACAGCTGAACCCCTTACCACTAGTGGCTTGTCCTGATGGACACTGTGCAATGAGTCGTCGTCATCACCATCATCATCATCCTAGAATGGTTTGGTTGGAGGGGACCTTAAACCCCCTCTCTGCCATGGGCAGGGACACCTCCCACCAGACCAGGTTTCTCCAAGCCCCATCCAACCTGGCCTTCAACACTTCCAGGGATGGGGCAGCCACAGCTTCTTGAGGCAACCTCTGCCACTGCCTCACCACCCTCACCGGGGAAAAATTTCTTCTTGATGTCTCATCTCAATCTGCCCTCTTCCAGTTCAAAGCCCTTGCCCCTTGTCCTGTCACTCCAGGCCCTTGTGAAGACTCAGGCTCCATCACCGCCCCGCATCTCCTGGGACCGAGAGTGTGTCCCCTCCATTGGGGAAGTGCTTGGCCCACGGCAGGAGGAGGTGGGCATGGGCAAGGCTGTATAGAGTCGCACCTTTTGCTCGTTGCTGGAGAAGGGAGAACAGGAGTTTAGATGGTTGAATCCACCTGGCTGGCAACCAGTGGGGTACTGACTGGGGAGATTTAGGAGCTGGCAGGATCTTGGCTCCATCCTGAAGATGCTCGTCCCCATTTTGATGCGGTGCAGAGCCCTTCTCCCCTCCAGAGCTGTGAGGATGCTGTGAACCTTCCCTCTGGTTAGAGCTGTGCCTGTCTCATTCTGGAGGAGATATCTGGGACATGATCTGCTTTTGCAGGGAAGACCCCGTGGAGCTTCAGCTGGTCCGAAACCTGGCTGCACCCTCTTAACAGAGGCTGTTGATATGTTCAACAAGTGCTGGGTGATCCTGGCTTTGCCTTGGACAGGTTGGGTGTCCCTCTGCCCCTCCCCTAGCAGCAGGGTGCAAGGGTGAGCAGCCAAAGGTGAAACCCTGGTCCCTCCTACCCAACCCTTGGCAATGAGTTCCCAGCATCTTCCCAGCAGTCCAATCTTTTTCCGTACGCGTTGCTGTGAATGCATCATTGCTCTAGCCGATCTAACCAAACCAGTCTAAACCCACAGCATTTTGGGTGTTGATTTTTGGATGCTTAGACCTCCATCTGACCTGCCTGTGGGAGAGCTCGTGGTGTGGTGCGGGGCAAGCCTGTAGGTCACCCTGAGCTTACCGGGAGCGTCTTTTTGCTCACAGACCTTGTGCTGGTTCTGTGCTGAGATGGTGGATCTGAACATGGTTACTGCAGTGCAGAGCTGCAGCAAAGTCATGGCTTAGTACTGTTTTGAGGCCGGCTAGGGAGAGATGTTGAGGTCCTGTGGTCATCCAGGTGCTACCAAGGTACCTTCAGAGCTTCTTTTTGGCTTGAGCCTCAAGGGTAGCACATCATTTTTGACCCACCACCAGCTGAAGAAGCTGGAGAAACCCCATAAGAACATGGGCAAGGTATGGTCTTGTACCAGCACGTTAAGAAGCGTAGCAAGGTCAAGGTTTGCACCTGGTGCTGTGTCACCAGCCTGGGCCTCACGCTGCAGATTGAGCGTGGGTTTTGTCCCAGTTGTATTTACTGGTGTTGAAGTTGCTCGTGTCTGCCCGGTAAAGCAGTGTGGGAGGTCGGACGGCCTCCTGGCATCTGCCTGTGTTTGA